AACCATTTTTTTGCAGCTGTGAACATGCACAAGACCCCCAGATTGCAGGATTCATCCGATTTAACTGAGGGAATTGTTGATGAAACTCATACCACAGGAGAGCCATCATCCCAAGTAGAGGCCAGGGAATTCACAACTTGCATATTCATAAGGTGAGGTATCCACCAAAAAGCCTGGTTTACAAGTATGTCGTTGATTTCCCAAGTGGGTAGGTTTCTTTCCAATGAATGTATGATAAAGTAAAAGGAATTCATTTCATTTCTACAGGAACCACACTCCACTATGACGAGTGAGCTGAAACATTGGAGATGAAGTTCATGAAAGTTTAGTTCAAGGTAAGTTGTCACCCAAAACCCTCTTTTACAAACGCGTCCTTAATGTCCCAAGTGAGTAAGTTTCTTACTTTCTTATGCATGCGTGATAAAGTCAAAGGAATTCTTTTCATATCTCCAGGAACCACACTCTGCTATGACGAGTGAGCTGAAACATTGGAGATAAAGAAATGAAAGTTTGATTCAGGTAAGTTATCACCAAAAAAATGGTTTTACAAATAATTGTTTGATTTCCCAAGTAAATTTCTTACTTTCTAAGTAATGTGTGATAAAATAAAAAGGAATTCTTCATTTCCATAGGAACCACACTCTTCTATGACGAGTGAGCTGAAGCACTGGAGATGAACATAAAACTTTGGTACAAGGTAAGTTATCACCCCAAAACCCTGTTTTTCCAAAACAGTTCAGCTATCACACATTAGGTATCCTTTGATCATTCAAATTTCTCATTGTTTGATTCACTTTGCTTGATTTTGTTTCAGCATCTGCTCAGAAGGTGTGACCATCCAAGCAGAGGCCGGGGGACAAGATTGCATGTTCTTTAAAGGTGAGGCAACCACCAAAAACCCTGTTTTACAAATACATCGTTGATTTCCAAAGTAGGTAGGCTTCTTTCTTATGAATTCCTGATAAAGTAAAAGGAATTCTTTTCATATCTACAGGAACCACACTCC